GTTAACTTTAGGTCTCAGTTTATTAAAAAAGTATTATTTCATGTGTCATCTTGTCCACAATTTACCAAAATACAGCAGGTTACTTAATAAAGTGTTTGTGCGAGATAGAGAATTATACCATAACTTTCAAAAATAAAAGTCTGTTTTTTCAAAGGTCAACACACAACTCTTCTTTTGAAATCTTGCTTTTTTGCCAATACCAATACATAATTCCAGTCTTTGCAATGACACAACCTTTATATTTATTTAAGTGAACAGCTGGACTTCTTCATTTATGAATGTTGACTGTTTAACTGGAACTACTGCAGCAAAGAGACAAAATCAGTAGAAGTTTGTTTTTGTAAAAAGGCAACATTTCTGTTGTGATTCAAATTTAACAGGTTTGTCGATATCTAAACTCAACATGCAGCATAAATGAGAAAGACAAAATAAGTCCTCGGAGTCTGCCAGTTTTTGAATGTAAGTTTGAGTGTTGTGAACATTTTCCTCACGTGTCCTCTCTTTTGGGCTCATCTTCACTTCAAATATGTGCTTTTATTCTCTTCCTGATTGCCCTTTCTTTACCCCTGTTTCTTCCTCACTTTTTCATCATTCTTTCTACTTCTTCTACTGATGCCTCCCTTTCATTTCTGCTCAGTTCATCTCCTTCAGAGTTTGCTTTCTTCTTTACCCCACTCTTCTCTACACTTTCTCCCATAAACAAAGTCTCTCGTTAGCAGCTGCAGTGATTTTGTGTTCATTTCCTGCTCCAAAACAACACAAAAAAATAACACTTTTATGAATTAAAGCAACAGCTTGTATCACGTTCTTGTCTAAGATACAGTACAGAGTTCATATTACCCTACAAATTTAGTTGAACAATACAATACAAAAATGTTACATGTAGGCTCCATGGCAGAACTCCATACTGAACTCGGACCTAGCAGTAGCAGCAGCATTAGCACCGCTGAGCTCAGCTCCTTCTGCCCGGACTACAAAGCACCGAGGTCGGTCACACCAGCGCAGGACCCCCGATACGAGCTTGAGCGTTGGTACCAAGCCCGAAACGACAAAAGCCTTCGATACATGCTGGTTCCGTCAGGACATAACATAATCAGACAATTCGATGAATGATGAATTATCAGCTAATAACTCTCAGTGCGTCTGTGTGTGTAGTTCCCATGCCGTACCCCAATAGCTGACCCACTGAAATAAAGGAACACACTGTGGATGAAATGTATTCATGTGTTCATATTTTATAGAAGTATGCAACATACATAATCATGTTTTAAAAAGATCATAAGAGATGTGCTAAAACATATAACCAGCTTGAACATAAAATGCTACTTAAAGCTAGAACTGAAAACATGCATATGTAGAGAAGGAGCTGCGAGGTTGAGATAAAACCAAGGTTTGTTGTGAAAAGAGGAGTACTTGGTGTGATGGGAAACAGAAACTTTTAGAATACAATTTGACAATAGCTGGATTCATAGTTAGAACACAAGGTCCCAACAACAGCACCTGGGCGCGATAAGAACAGGATGAGAAACCAACGGTGTAGATGCAGTTGCCAAAAAGAATGTATGTCTGTGTGTAGAACAAATGAAGTCTGTATCGCTTGAGATGTACCACCTGGATGTGTGTGTCAATAAAACGAGCCTGAGTTTGTGGAGAGAGCAGGATTCAGCAGTCAACCCCCTGACTCTCCGCTGGACCCTCCCTGTGCACAGGCGAACTCGAGCAACAACTTTTGTCTTTTCTTTATACTTTGTGAAAGTTCTTGATCAACGAATCCGGGGTGGTAAAACCTTACCACAACAACACCAAAGTGACGCCAACAGCGAACATATTTCTTCCCTTTAATGAGTCACGATGTATTCATATCCTCAATAAAATTCTGAGCAACGAAGCCGATAAAGATAAAAAAAGGATGTAGAATGGAGTCAAGATCAAAACTAACGAGGGGCTGGACCATGAACGCAGAATATGTTTTGAGCGAAAACTTGACACAAAGTTAGGCTACATTCAATGGCCAAAGAAAAAGCTTGGATATCACACTCACACACTTTATGCTAAGAAACAATTTAAAAACAACAACAACAAAACGACAACTCCGGCTATGACAAAAGTGCTACCAATAAGGTACGAATGCCCTAATAATATTTATTACAACCACTGATATATAAACAACTGCAATTACTATACTGTAATTTAAAAAGTTCTGTTAGGCAATTGGACGTGAATTTTCTAAAAGAAGACATTTCACCTCTAATCCAAGAGGCTTCTTCAGTTCTAACTGATGGTGGGGAGTACAGCAAATAAATACTCTAGGTGAGAAAGAATAAAGCTACTTCAGCTCCACCCTGTTAGGTGGGGCCTTGGGGTCAACTGTGAAAGTGTAAACAGTCGTTAAGAGTCTGACGAGTCGTTGTGGTCCCCATCAGAACGGTTTCGGTCACCTGCCTCTTTGTTGTGTGAAACTGAGATGAAACTTTTGGGTATTGTTCCTAAAAGTGCTTTGTAAGTGGGTGATAGGTTGTGTCTGAGTCCACCTCCTCTGTTGAGTGATGGTTTTTCCAGGTTGACAAAAATGGCTTCTTTTACCCCTCTCTCAAACCATCTGTCTTCCCTGGCCAAAATGTGTACATTGCAATGCCCAGTAGTGCTTATAGTGTGTTTCTGTATACAATTTCTCCAGCCGTGGTCACGTGGTGTCATAAATTATGATATTTTGAGAGGTATTTATTGAAGTCAGAGTAAGTAGGACATCACTGAAGGCCACCGCTGGTAAACAAATAGAAACACACATCCATGAGAGTTAGAAAACTAAGTGTAAGAAAAATGTCCTGTTCCACTCTTACCCTGTGTCAAACAATACCCTGAAAACCGAAGGCAATAAATCAATCAAATCTCCCAGTCCCTCCATACAATCAAGTGAAAGTAAAAGTGAATTATTTGTCATTGTAACACAGCACACCACTGCACACACAACAAAATGTGACCTCTGTTTGTAACCCATCACCAAAGTGAACAGTGGGCAGCTTATAAGCGCCCAGGGAGCAGTGTGTGGGGACGGTGCCATGCTCTGAGCACCTCAGTGGTAACTTGGCAGCTGGTGGACCCGAACCAGGAGCCTTCTGGACCCAAGTCCGAACCTTAACCACTAAGCCACTACTGCCCCAGTATTATTGTAATATTATATTAATATAATATTATAGTAATATTGACCACAGTCTGAATTAAAGAAACTCCATAAATGGAATGTCCTTAAAACCAATCCAGGACCAAATAAAATATTTCTGATCATTTGTCTCAACTAGAAGACCCTGGTTCCCAGAGAGACAGGTATATATGTGTCTGCACATTCCTGGACATTTTATAAGGCAACTCAGTTTTTATTCTTACCGTGACTTTGAAATGACTCTAAAAAAACAAAAAACAAAAGAAAACAAAAGAACTGAGGCTTTTGATTCGTTTTATTCCTCACAAAGACAGAAATATGAGAACACACCCACTCACACATACACACAAGACACAAAATCAACCTTCAGAATTGAAAATACTGGACTACTGGAAGTCATGGAATTCAAACAATAGTTCCACCCTCACGAATGAACACTGATGAAAAAAGACTGGAAACTGGAGACTATCTATGACAGTAAATGTACAAAGGGTTGATTTTTTTTAATAAAAATGGATGACTCTAAACTACAACCTATGAGCAGAGCAAAGCCTCAGTGTGACACTAAACATGGAACAGTTATCAATGTAACTGAAAGAGTTAGTGAGTGTTTTCAGGCAGTGAAGGTTCGAGTGTCTATACTTCATCTGATCATCAGCTGCAAGGCTACTGACCTAATGGCTTAATTGTAAAAATTTGCATTAAAACCACAGGAATCAGAACCAGAACACAAGAACAGAACCAGGAACTATGCCTGTTCCCACTGCAGGAACCAGAAACCCAGATTTGCACCTAAAATAATCCTGTCCCAGATCTAGGACCAGTCATTCAGGAACATGTTCCTGCTTGACTTTTTGGTTCCACAGAAACTTGGAGCTACCAGAAAAGACACAGCATTAGAATAATTTACATAATCTCACAAATTAGTATATGGAGTTGCTTTTACTGCTGAAGAAACGGCAGCTATTGCATAAATTCATTCATTTCTTTGTTGCAATGGTTGTTGTTAGGTTAGCTTCCTGGAACTGGAGTCCAGAAAACTGTTTCCTTCAGCTAATTTGCGTTGAAATCAGTGAGTCATATAGCGAACTGGAGATGGCAGATAAGGAAGCAACATTCTTTTGGTTTGAACTAGAATGGCTACAAGTGCTTGTTGCTCAGCAGAACATGCAGGGGTGTCAAACATACGGCCCCCGCCGCGCGCCCGTCCAGCCCCGGGAGGAGGACCCGGCGCGCCCGCCTCACTATACAAT